AGAGATCAAGAACCCCCCCCCCCACACACACACACACAGAGTATTTCTATTGCATTGCATGGAATTCTGATTTTTGCAATGCATGGTCCCAATGCCAAGTTTCTTTTGTATATTATGTACTCTTTCTCTAAAGGAACCCCCCCCCGGCAACAAGCAGCCTGGCTAGGAGCAGGGATTCTTGGACTACAACTCCCGGAGGCCTCCACCCCTGGCTGTGTTGGCCATGATTTCTGGGAGTCGTAGTCCAAGAACACTTGGGGACACACAAACACACACACCGATATTAGGAGCCAGGTGCAGGATAATCCCTCGCCCTGGACATTCCCACTCAGGCGTTTGACCTCCTTGGTCTTTTTCCTCGGAGGCGCCTTTGGGCCCAGGAAGCCCTTTCCGTACGGATTCTTTGAGACACGGGTGCCGCCATCTTGGGGCGGGGGAGCCGCTCGAGCTCTTTCCGTACGGCAGGGCAAGGGCGCCGCCATTTTAACCTTGCCTACGACCTATCGCGAGAGCCGCGTCCGAGATTGGCTCAGGGACAGGGGGGGGGTTGCCGACCGGCGGCGGGGAAAGAAGGCTTTCAGAGCGCGGACGGCGGCGGAGAAGGGCCATGATTCCTCGGATGGCGATGTTAGCCCGGCGGGGGCTTTTGGGGGGCGGTTCGGGGTAAGCTTTTGCAGAGCGAGGCTTTTTTGGGGGGGCGAGGCTGTTCTGGAAGAGTCCTCGTGGACGGGGGGGCGCGGCTCAGAGTCTTATCCATAAATTGGGGTTTGGTTGCGAAATGGCCCTTTAAAGGTGCCTTTCAAAGCTTTCTTGGAGGTGGTGGAAGTTCAACAGGTGCAGCTTCAGCCAGCAGCGGTCTGCCTGAGGCCCCTACTTAATTTGGGGGAGGGGCGGCGCCTTTCTTGGCCCGGACTACAACTCCCATCAGCCCTGGCCGGGCTGGGTTCCCCTGGCGCAGCATGATGGGAGTTGTGGTTCGTGGATATTTGGGATGGGGGGAGGCAGGGAAGAAGTGGTGGCCCCAAAACCTTCCCTGCGTCCATCCCTGATGTGGTGGATAATGGGCTGGATGAGGACAGGCGGGGGGGGGAGGAGAGGATTTGTGGTGTTGGACTACAACTCCCATCAAGTAACTGTTGCACTGCGGCTTACACACACACACACACCGGACAACAACGCTTAACACTCTTGTCAATGGCTATTCGAGCATCTTCGTGGCTGTGAGTTTTTATACCTAGCTTCCCCAGAGGTGAGACAGACATGAACTTGGGACCATATGCCAGATTTCTTACCGCAGTTCAGCTCTTTGGTTCAGTTGGGGGAACTCGTCCCGAGGATGAGCGACAACGACAGAACTGCCCTGTCTCTTCTTACAGCGGTTGCCTCGTTGCCGCGTCCCACCGTTTGCAGACAGGCATCCAGAGGTTAGGACCAGATTTGACCGAGGTACCAACTGATGAGCCGGACGTGGAGACCTCGCCTGACTTCAGGTGAAGTAGCTTCATTGCGTGGGAGAAAACTGTGGGATGTGGGTATGTTTGCTGTTTAGAGAAACAGCAGCAGCTCCGGTTGAAAGAGGGAGCGCACACGATGAGGTAGAGAGAAAAGGGAGGGCGCTTTGGGAAACATCCCACTAGGCACGTATTTTACGTTATTGCTGAAGGAATTACCTAGCCTGTTTGCTGTCGAGGTAAATGCCATGATTTGCAGGTGACTGATAAACCCCCGCTACCAACTGAAATTGGGGCACCGATTTCTTGGAGCGCATAAAAGGCTCAGGTTTGTTACTGGAAATACTGCCATCACTCCAGATAGGCTTTGACATCATCATGTTGCAAAAAGCCGTTACTCTGAATGGGCTTCAGAAGTCCTCTTGTTGAGAAATCTCTGTCCTTTCACAACACTTGCCGCTACACCGGATGAGACCGAGAGGGTGAAAATTAAAGTGGGAGGAAACTTCCTACATCTGTCTTAATAATCCAGTGGTTCGTCCCAGCTGGAGCAGAATCTTGGAGCCAATGGGATTTACATAAGTTTTGACTTCCTGTTCAGCAGTTGATCCAAGTGGACAGGGATCCATCTGTCCCTCGTAGATCAAGGGCAGCAGGACAGAATTTCAGGGGATCCCTAATTTAGTTTGTTCTAGAGCTGAAATTGGGAGATTAACACTGCCTGTCCTTTCTCTCTGTTTTACTTTTTTCTTTCCAGCTATCTCCCCCCTGCTCCAGGAAAAGAGAGTTCTCTGCGGTGGGATGGGATGAAATATGAAGAAATCCCAATTTGCTACATCAAAGCTACGTATAACAAGTAAGAAGCTGGTCCCGAGTTCAGGTGCTGCCTTATGCTGTGCAGGCCACAAACGTCATTGCCAATATGGAGGCTGGACAGCCTTTTGTAAGATGCATCGACAGCTTGGAAAATCCGAGCCCAAACGTATTGCCAAAGTAAAAGTAGCTATTTTAGTTGCCTTTGGAGCTCAGGAAAATTAGCAAGGGCAGCTAATTACTTTGGGGCTGTGGCAGAACAGCGAGAACGACTTACTTTTAAAAAGGGGTGAAAAATCCTCTCTGTGTTTCACACTGCTTCTTCTTTTACTAGGCAAACCGTAAGCGTCTTGTAGCATTAAAAACACCACCACGGAGTTTGTTGCTGCAGATGTAAAAGCCAACGTCGGTAGCCACGAGGGCTTCTGTAGTCAGAGGGAAAGGCTCCAACCCACCCTCTTTTATCAGCTATGGGTATTTCTTAATTCAGTTCAAGAATCCGATGAGAACATCACTGCTAAAGAGTTGATCCCCAGAGCAAAAGAACCCATTGAGAGCCGCTTCGGGGCAGAGGGTCCCTCGGGATATTTAGTCTTGTTTCCCCTTGTTTCCAGCACACACATCCAGGTTCGGACCCCAGACAACGCTGGCGTGTGTCTCGCTACCTGCGGCACCGAAGGCTTCAAGAATGCCAAGAAGGCTACTCCTGTGGCTTCCCAGGTGACCGGAATCGCAGCGGCCGCCGTAAGCAAAATTTCCTCCCCTACATGCACCTTCCACAGTGACCTCCTACCCCCCTCAATGCTGTGAATAAGGGTCTTATTTACTGGGGCAGAAGGATTCCCTGCTGCTCTCCTTCTCGGGGTCCAAAAATCCCTGTGCGTCTGCTTCTCGCTGTTCACGCTCTTTGCATAGAAACATTGGGGCTTCCGTCAGGGCCAGCGCAAGACGTGAAGGGTTGCCAGGAGCGAATCGCAACATGATCCCCTTTCGGCATGCAGAGGGTTCTGGACCCGAATTCCACAGGATGGGAGAGTGGGAGGTGTGCTGAAGAGGACAGCAAGCAGCCATTTCTGATCCCCATTTATTCTTCGTTTTACAGAACTCCCAACCGTGCTAAAGCAAAGTGGGAGATGATTTTTACACATTGCATTTTATATTATATCTTTCGATTTGCTGTTGAGTGGCCAGGAAATGACCTTGGGCGGTTCAGGGACATGGGGAGGCCCCGTTTGGCCCGTCCAAAGGCCGAGACCTGCCAGACTCTGCCAAATGTTTCCCAACAAAAATGCATTTTTGTCAACACTCGCCCCCAACACACACATACACCAATTTTGTACCACTCAATTCATCTTTGGGACCCCCGGGGGCCGCATTTCGCTCCGTGGGGAGGCCAAAGAATACTCGCAAAGGTGGTGGAAGTTTTAGAAATCAAATTTGGATGTTGTTGACAGGGGGTCGGTGGGTGGTAAAAGAAAAAGAGGGGGGGGCACAGGAAGGTTTCTCAGAATTCGAATAAAAGGAAGCGTGATGCCAAAACTGGTTCACTTTGAAAAGTTTAGAAAAGCCACTAGATGGCAGCCCAATTACAGAAGACGCCATGAATGGAAGAAAAAAATTAATAGCGTTCTGTGCCTAGTAGAATGTGATGCCCTACCGCTGGGGAGTCTGAATTTGATCTTTCGAAATGGAACATGTTCTCTTGCGTGTTGAGGCACACAATGATTTTTTCCGTCAACTCTTGCTCTTCTTCCTCCCACATGCTTTTTAAAATATATATGTATATATATATTGGGGTGCAGCTAAATATCCTTCTCTCCTTCCCAGAAAGCCATCGCAAAAGGCGTGGGCCATGTGCGAGTCATCGTGAAAGGCGTGGGACCCGGACGAATGGTACGTACCTTCAGAAGACCTCTTTGTGTTTCCTTCATTTTTTCATTTCAACTGGAAGGATGTGGTATAAGGTTGAGCTAAAGGGTTCCATGTTGTGAAAGGGACAGGTGGGTCCAGCCATACGGGCTCCCAGCCCATCAGCCTCTCTTGTCTTTCGGCCAAGACGGTGGTTTTCTCTACCAAAAAGAAGATGGGCTACCCTCCCGGCAGACCTCCAGGAAGAGCAATCGTGCCTTTTAAATGGGTCTCACAGCCCCCCGCCCCCATGATTCACACTCTGAAGCACCCAGTTCTGAAAACCAGAAGAGGATTTCCAGCTGTGGTTGGTTTCATTTTTTTAGCCGTGTCTTTTTGGCAGCCGGTGCAACAGTTGGAAGATCTGGAGAGCTGAAAATCCGTTCCCTCCCCTTCCAAAGTTGTCCATGGTTCCTTTTTTGGCAAGGGGCGCCGTTGCTTTGGGGCAATCACTGTTTTTGGCTGCACTGGCTAGGGCTGACCGAGTTATAGCCCAACGGGATCTGAGTGGCCCCCCCATGCCTTGGTCTGCTATAGGAATTACTGGGTTTAATGGGAGAGAGAGCTTTGAATGTTGTTTCTTTCTGGTTTGTTGACCTGCAAAGGCCATCATCCTAGACTATCAGAATTTGGCTCAGGCGGATGGAAGTGGCCGTCCGGCAGCATCTACAGGGACACACATCCCTCACCCCTGGTTGAACGAGAGCTGCGTTGAGCTGAACTTGAGCTCAGCCATGTGCAAAGCATGTTCTCTGCCCCAAGGCCATGTTCCTTTCCAAGAGGAAGCTAAGATAGATTCATTTTTTTAATCCTCTGAGCCTCCTTGAGTCCCCTTTTTTAGGGAGAAAGGTGGCCTATAGGACAGACGGACAAATCAGTAAATGTTGAGCCGGCGTCCCCCACTCCTTATCTAAAACGGCCTGCTTGCAGAACAATTGATTCCCACGAGATCTAGAACAGACGTAGGCAAAGCGGCGTTTGGGGGGGGGGTCATCATTCTGACTATCTGATTCCCCTTTAACCCAGAATTTTAAAAACGAATGATAAAAAAAAAAAACCCAAACTCTGCCAAATGCATTTTCATCCTTACTGCCTTTTTCTCTCTCCCACTCAGGCAGCCATCGAAGGGTTGACCCTTGGTGGTTTGAAGGTCGTCTCCATCACGGACAATACCCCCATCCCACACAATGGCTGTCGGCCTCGGAAAGCCCGGAGGGTGTGAGAGACCGTGGGGCCGAGGAGAGATCAGATGGTACAGAAAGACCCTGTTCCATGGGGGGGGCTGCACCACAAGATGGCGCTGCTCTCTGTGCATGCCTCCAGGCAGTCCTCCAAAGTAGTCCAAACTGTCCATCGCGCCCCCCCCCCCAAATCTTCAAAACAAGAGACATCTATAAAGTCTGCGTGTGAAATCGCCTTGCTCTCTGTGTCTCTTTTCTCATGCTGGCACATTGATTGGCTTCAATTTTTCTTTTTCTTTCCGAGCTGCTGGTTTTCCTCGCCCGAACTCCGGAACGTCGCCTGTTTATTTGATTTGTTTAAGCGGCGCGGTATCGAAAGCCAGTTCTGGTAAAAAATCAGGAGGGGGTAAGACACCGGTAATCATAAAAACAGGCCGACAGAGGCGCTGCCAGGCAATTTTTTTTCCCCATGCATCTGCAGGTGCCAAAGTGAAAGAAGCCACCTTTTCCATTACATTATCCTCACAACTGGCTGGCTGGCAGGCAGGGGTTCATCTTATGCTGAGCTAACTATTGAAGTTTTTGATACTTTGGAGTCTTCCCTCTTCCCCAGTACGGATTGGAATGATAAATCGGAGAGGTCTTCACCATTCCCTTTGTTCCAAATTATCTACCTACTTACCCATCCTACCTACCTGCCTACCTATCTATTATCCAGCTAGCCATCTGTCAATCAGCTATCTGGCTAGCTGTCTGCCTACCTAATAAAGCTAATAATAATCATGTCTGTCTATCATCTATCTATCCTCTAGCTAGCTGGCTGCCTGGTCTCTATGCCATCTTTTCTTCAGCAGGCTCACAGTGGCATCCATATCCTTACACCATCCTTGTGAAGGTACATAAGGCTGCGAAGGACTCTTCAAGGTTGCCCAATGAATTCTAAGCTGTGGTGAGACCGGAAGGGTGTGTGACCTGCTACATCCCAGTCTGGCACCCTAACTCCTGCACCGTGTTGGGTTTGGATCCAGAGTTCGCTGCCCACAGGCTGACGCTTGCTTCTTCCTGCTAGCTAAAGGGAACGGCGTGCAGGGCAGCCTCCCCGTTGGAGGACTGCGACCAGGGGGTGGTTAGCAGGATCAGAATCGGCGCCAGCATCCTGCCTGCTCCTCCAGGCTGCTGGTGGATCCAACGCTGTGTCTCACGTTGAGGGTCAGCCAATCCACATGAGAAGCGGGACTGCCACCCCCAGGAGATGCAGCCCCGTTGTGGCCAGCAAATCTCACATCCACTGCGATTTCAAGTTTGTGCTAAACAGCTGGGGTCCTTTCCAAACTACGGCAAGACTTCGGCCCTTCCTGTAACCATGCAAAGAGGTGGAAGCCCTGTTGGTTCTCCAACATGCCCAGAGTACTAAAGGGAAAGGGACTAGTATCAAATAAATGGCCGGCTGACATTTACGGACGACTTCAATGACCCTCAAACAGTTTGGTCTTTTATTATAAATCCGTTGCTCTGATATCTTGGGACCACAAAGCTTGCCACTGTAGCTGTCGGCTCCTCGAGCAAGAGATGAGGAATCTTTGGCTCTCCAGATGTTTTTGGTCTACAGCAGTGGTTCCCAACCTTGAGTCCCTAGATGTTCTTGGACTGCAGCTCTCCTCACTGGCCGTGCTGGCTAGAATTTCTGGGAGTTACAGTGGAAGAATATCTGGGGACTCAAAGGTTGGGGGCACTGAATCCCCATTCAGTGCGGCCATTTTTAAGGGATTGTCAACTGTGAAAACAAGGGGGTTCCCTTTCTTGTAGAGGCTGAAAGCAAATAGTAGAGCAAGAATATCTTGGAGATGGTAGAGCAATCGGTCTGGAAGGTATCCGTCCGTGGAAAAGTACTCCATGGAAGCCGCAGCAATTTGGCTGAAGACAGCTTAAGAATGGGCAGCTCCTCTCCTGGGACCTTATCCAGGAGTTTATTATGTGCCTCCCCCTTTTGCTTGGCTGGCATGCCTTGCAGATTCACCCAGATAGTCACCAAACACCCTCTTTCTCTCCTGCAGAGGAACCACAGGCGGGTGACCTTAGATGGGGGGAAAAAAGCACATCCCTGTACATTTTCCAACTAGGACCAGCTCAAGAGAGAATCAGCAGCCCTCGCGCAAATTAGAAGCAAACTGTGGAATCTTAACTTCAGCACCGATGGCGGGAAGATGGCCTTCGTTACATCGAAGGACCTGCCGCTTTAGGGTCCCCTCATATTGGGACCACCCCTCACGTTGTCCTCCGACGGACAAAAAGGTCCAAGGCCCTTTGTAAGAAGGGCTGGGGAGACAGGCTGCCATCCAAGGCCATAATCTCAGTTTGCCCCAATGTAGGACCGGCTCCAAGACCCAAGCCAACCCTCCTTCCCCTCAATTCCATTATTTTCCCATTTTTTGCTGCTGCTGCTGCTTTGTTTTCTAATGTTGTAATCAACTCCGCTCTTCTTTAAAAGAAAGTGTGCCATGGCAACCGGGCAGCTGTTTTTAACTCCTTCCTTTTCTGCCTCCCTAAGAAGGGAAGTTCAAGAGCTTTTACTGGACTTGAATTATATTTGTTTTTTTTTTCTTTCTTAATTAGTGGTTGATGGCTGAGATCCTTTGCCTCCTGGGGTACAAATGGTGGGGAATCGTTGCTTCCAACTGGGAAATCTTTTTCCCAGGACAGAATCTCTGGTGTGTTTTCTAGACACCCCATCACCACCGCCATCTATCGAGAGCGGATGGAAACGGACAGCCCATAGTCATCAAGGTTTCTACCTGCAGGAGAGAGTCTGGTTTGATTTCAGAGCCTTGTCTGTAGCCCTTTAAATGGTTAACTAAGGCGAACACAATTTTCCTGGGGTAACCATACAGAAAAGCATTTGTAATACAGAGGATGGGTGAAAGGTGGGCCCAACTAGCGGTTTGTTCATCCACAAATAATAAGTTCTGACTCAGGGTGATGCTTTCCAGGGCTTTCTGGGCACAGAGTACTCAGAAGTGCTTTATCCTTCTCAGTCGTTCAGGTCTCCAACTGTAGAGCCAGAGGTTGGGAGTTTGATTCCCCACTGTGTGCTTCCTGGGAGAGAAGAGCCAGCCTGGGTAGCCTTGGGCCTGCTGCACAGTCCCAGGGTGCCCCCTAGAGGAAAGGAATGGCAATACACTTCTGAGTACCTCCTACTTAGGAAAGCCTGAAAAGAGTCACCATAAGTCCGAATCAACTTGATGGCACATTATTATTTGGCTCTTCTCTTGGGATGCCCAGCTGGGGAACTGTACTCCCAATTTCTGGTGCCACGGCCAGACACCTAACTCACTGAGCTACCCAGCCGGCATAGATACACGCAACAGTAACTCTAACGATACATTCTGAACTTTGAAGAGGACCAGTTTCATGCTGGGTTTTGGGAGGTCCTATGAAATAGATGGTTTATTTGATTGATTGATTGATTGATTGATTTTATTTCTATACCACCCATCTGGCAACCCAGGCCACTCTGGGTGCTTTACATAGTATAACAAAACAGAGTATAAAAACAAAACAATACAATAATAACAGGAGAAAGTATAAATTGAGTAATAAAATATTAAACAAATAAAAATAATATCAGATACTACACTTGATCTTAGCCAAAAGGCCAAGAAGCGATATCAGTAAACATTAAATGAAAATAGGAAAAGGAAAAAGGGATTGGAAGATTGTTGGGCTCTGTTCTTTCAAATGTGTTTTATTACTGATTTTTATTTACCATTTTTGTTTAATTCTTTGAAAATATCTGCATACTTATTGTTTTTACCTTTTAAATATTGCCCTTTTAACGATGTAATCCACCTTGGGTCATTTTTAAGGGAAAAGGCGGGATAATTTTTAAAAAATAAATAAATAAAATGGCAATCACTACCTTAAATGTACTGATTCGTTGATTTGATTAGATTATTTGATTTGATTTGTAATACCGCTCCCATTAGTGCTGAGGCAGTACTCTGGGTGGTTTACAATAAAAAGCAACGCAAAACCAGAAATAAAAAGTAAAAACTGCTATAAACAATTAAGAACTAACCAATAAATGCAAATCTTCAAAAGGTTTTATATAATATGTATAATTTAAGAAGAGTTATAAAAGCATCTAGTTCTAGTAGGAAGGACCTTGTTCAAGTGTTCTGTGTACTGAGTCTGCTTTCTAGTCACTTCTAATTATGGATGATGGCCAGTTTGAAGGCCCTCTCCCCCAACCCTGTCTGCAATCATCCTTCTTAAAATTCATTGCCCTTCAATCGTATTCAGACCCGACAGCCTTCCAAAAAAGATGATTCTCCCACCACACTTCAAAGGAGTTTGATCTCTAGGAAAGGACATGTGCAGTACCTTAATGGGCAGCATCAGCCCCCCCCCCCGACACACACAGTTTAAAACAAAAACACAAAAACAAGTCCGATAACACCATCTGTGTAATTACAAAAAAGCAGTCCAGAAAGCCAAGCTGTTCTTTCAAAGGATGTGACCCCCTTATCACATCAGCGCAACCCGGTGCCTCTCCGGCTACGGATCCGTGTTTACTTTTGCTCTTCAAAGCCTGGCGTTTCTCGGCTCGGGAGAGATGGGTTGTGTTACCTTTCCAGCTGTCCCCGTTCGGCTCGGGAAAGGTAACATCTTGACATGTTTGCTTCTTGGCCAATCCTTCCCAGCTCAGCATAATCTCTGGAAAGGTTTGCAAACAAACCTGTCGGCCTCGCCTTTTGCTTTTTCCTCCTCCTATGGGTGCGTGTGTGTGTGTTTGATTTCATAGCAAAGTGAACATGAAACTTATGGCGAAGGGAACACCAGTAGGTGGTCTCCAAAGATGTTCCACAAGTAGCTACAGCTGAACAGGGCAGTAAACGTCTCCTTCAGCTCTCGGGTGGCTGGTGATCTTACCCAGTGTGCTGCTAAATGACGGGCAGCTGGACCCAATTGCTGTTGTGGTGACACTCTATCCAACTCAGGCTTTTAGGATGAACTACCAATGTGCTCTCCGAGGTACTGAACCTACTTTGAAGGTAGAGTCCAGCACCTTGCAAACAGTTGCAAAGTTCAGACTAAAAGCCCTGCGCACCTAAGCCCTGCGCACCTTCACCCTCCTGTGATGCTGGTGTACGCGCTGCAGTGTGCTCTAATAGTTGTAAGATTATGGCTTACTTTATCCTGGTAAACCGCTAAGAATAGTGTCTCACACTGAGTCTGCGGTATACCAATTTATGAAATTAAAAAATCTAAATAAGTAGGAACCCTTTGGTCTACTCAGCAGAGCCTGGCCTTCCATTCTTGCTTGTATCAAACTTTCTTAATTGTGCAGGATTTATCTACGCCCCAGCATCAATGTGCTTTCTCCTGCATGTGGACTTTTTTCACCTCCCACAACGCCCGCACCATCCCATTTATGGTTGAAAACCCATAAATCCCACTCACATCCCTGCAGACTCTCCCTTCTCCACTCTCCGGTCATTCTCTCCCACCCCATCCAGGACACTCATTCGGCTGTCCCCAGCTTCGTAGAATAGTCCACAAAATTTGTATAACCAGCTGCTACAAAAACCTAAACATTAGTCGGACCATGGGGGGGGAGAGTTTGGGAGAAACAACTGTGAGATACAACCAATCCACATATTTACTTGAGAATCAACCTCCCCCCCTTCCTTCACACTTCTGCTTTCCTGGCTCTTGCTGTTTCCGAGAATTTTCAGCAAAAAGGCACAGTTATTTAAGATGGAAATCAAAAACACCCAAGCAAAA